CAGCAAAAAGGTTATGATCTCCTGAACAACTTTGCCGAAGACAGTAACTTTCTATCTGGTCAGAATTTCGCAAAATTCCATCTTGTAACCAATTAAGTCAAATCCTGTTTACTGTAATCAAAGTTCAGCTTTTTTTTTAATAATTCGTTTATTTTTCCAGGCTTATTTGCTGTAGCTTTGCGGAGCCGATATTCATTGTTTAGATAACAAAATTACTTAAAACTAACGTTAGTAAAGCGGGGGCCGATTACTCGCGGCTATCTCGAGGTTAGGGGTAACAAATTGTAATAAATGGATGGCAGGGTAGGGATTGTGAACACAAGGTTTGGAGAGCAATGTGCTCTTGATCTCGAACTAGGCGACACTCCGATGAAGCAAAGTTCAGCTTGTTTAGTTTAAAATAAGTTTTTTTTAAGGAATACACGATTTTTTCACATCGATTTAGATCTCAGCATCAAAATGGCAATGGAAGACTCACACAATAAAATACCTTCATTTTGACTAAATTACAATTTTCTTACGTCAAATCAATCACGAGAAACACCTGATGTTATGTGTCCGGATTCTAAGTGGACCAGATTTTACAGTATCCAGGACTACATTGGCCACACCTGCACAAATTATGGGTGGCCAGAATCTTACTTGAACTAAAACCCATTGTGGGACTCATAAAATCAAGTAAGAATACAAAAATAACATTATTGGTACACAGCAAAAAATTAATTTGAATATCACATCAAAGTGGATGCACTTCAATCGTGTCAAAAATATGGTGTAAAATTTCTAGCCAAAAAGGAAAAAATTATCATTAATACAGTGCATGAACTGACATTACGCTGCTTTTACTGCATTCGTTTATTTTTGTGGCCATAAAAATTAAATGAGATTTTCGACATGATTGAAGCACAAACGAAGTGACAGACGACTTACTGGCGAAGAAATCCATTAAAATAATGTGGTTCACTGTAATAGAATTTTCTTGGAAGCTTGTGCCATCATCCACCAGATGGGTTAGTTTTTTTGTTTTGATTTGAACAAAGTTGATTTTGTGTACAATGATTCTTTGACAGTGTGCAAAGAGTGCGTATCCTGTGGCGTATCATTTTGTCAATTTTTTATGCATTTCAGTTTTGAGTAGAGTGAAAGAGATAGAAACAAAATATTCTAGTACATTTGGTGAAAATGCTAGTTCAATCCAATAGTAGTGTTGCCATGTGGTACAATCCAGTAGTAGTGGTGTTGCCATGTGGTACACTGAAAAATTGCAATAGAAGGTTAGTCACCAAAGTTTTCGTTTGTGCTAGTAGGTCCCGAAGAAACGTGCTCAACTTTTTGGCTCAGCTCTGGTACTCTCTTCGGTCCCAAGCTAATCGATTCACCCCTCGAAACATAGGAAAATCCACTAACCCCTCATTTTATCTGTCAAACTTTCATAGCGAATCAAAACAAACAGAGTGTAGTACTAGAATTTTGACTAGAATGGGGTAAGTTAATTGATTTGCTTGGGACCAATAGGCTAGTCAAGTAGTGAGCCAATTTAAAATCGTTAGTTTCGTATTGATTGTTGGTATAACTTTTGTCATATTTTACTGTTTTGCTTGCAGTGCAATCATTTGTATTACCATAAAACCGAGCATAAAACTAAATAAAACGTTCCGATTCAGAATTGTTTTATCTCACTAATAAATGTTGTATTTAATTGAAGTAACAATAAATAAATAAATAACAGATACGGGAAATGGCTCTAATGTTGGCCTATGGATCTAAGATTGGGCCCATCGTTAAAAATCTACTATTTATCAATTTGATCTAGATGAACGTGTCATTGGGACAGTACTAATGAAGATGAATTTAGGTAAGGGCCTAAATTACCCAACAAACATTGAATGTTTAATACGAGCTTATTTAGGCAAAAATAAGCTATAATCTTCAGCTAAAAAATGGCTTATTAAGCTGTTAATCAACTCAAATTTTTTGTTGGGTAGCGGAATATAGGCCGACATTACATCCACTTACATCCATTTCGATCTCAAATATTCCTGGCATCATCATTGTTTTGTGGCGTTTCTCTATTCACCATCAGAGCTCGCATCAGAGGTTGAATCGATCGCATAGTTTCTATTGGCAAATCAAAGTTGGCACTCGTGGAGAATAGAAGAACTATGAGAGTGATGATGGTTTCAAAATTTTACACGGTGAGGTATACGAGTGCAATCTTAAAAAGCTTTTATTTTGCAAATGGAACATTTTATTTAAATCTGGTTGATGCTATGTTAGTAGAAAACTTAAGGACTACTCAATAGACAAATAATACAGAAAAATTAATTTCTTTTCAGATTTTTAGGTGTACACATAGATTTGAACTTTTCTACCACTGTAGCAGCAACCAGATTTAAATAAAATGTTCCATTTGCAAAATAAAAGCATTTTAAGATTGCATTCGTATACTTCCCCGTGGAAAATTTTGAAACCATCATCACTGTTATAGTTCTTCTATTCTCCACGAGTGCCAACTTTGATTTGCCAATTCAAAAGGCGTATAGGCGAATCCAATTGGCAAATCAAAGTTGGCTCTCGTGGAGAATAGAAGAACTATGAAAGTGATGTTGGTTTCAAAAATTTCCACGGGGAAGTATACGAGTGCAATCTTAAAATGCTTTTATTTTGTGAATGGAGCATTTTATTTAAATCTGGTTAGTGCTACGTTAGTAGAAAACTTCAAGACTACTCAATAGACATATAATACAGAAAACATAATTTCTTTTCAGATTTTTAGGTGTAAACATAGACTTCCGCGGTCTCGAACCATCATAAGAACCTTCCACGGCCCCTAAAAACCCCTGTATACAAATTTTCACGCCAATCGGTTCAGTAGTTTCCGAGTCTATAAGGGTCAGACAGACAGACAGACAGACAGACAGAAATTCATTTTTATATATATAGAAGAAGAAGATAGAAGATAGAAGATAGAAGATAGAAGATAGAGATATTACAATAGATATTACAATTTCCATTGGAAGTGGTCTTATTTTACGATTTTCTAAAGATCTGAACTGATTTACAGCTTTACAGCATTTTCAAAATAAAAGCATTTTAAGATTGCACTCGTATCACAAACGAAGTGACAGACGACTAACTGGCGAAGAAATCCATTAAAATAATGTGGTTCACTGTAAGAATTTTCTTGGAAGCTTGTGCCATCATCCACCAGATGGGTTAGTTTTTTTGTTTTGATTTGAACAAAGTTGATTTTGTGTATAATGATTCTTTGACAGTGTGTAAAGAGTGTATCATTTTGTCATTTTTTTATGCATTTCAGGTTTGAGTAGAGTGATAGAGATAGAACTAAAACATTCTAATACATTTGGTGAAAATACTAGTACAATCCAGTAGTAGTGTTGCCATGTGGTACAATCCAGTAGTAGTGGTGTTGCCATGTGGTACACTGAAAAATTGAAATAGCAGGTTAGTCACCAAAGTTTTCGGGGGGGATAAGGGGGGGCCCCCATACAAATGAAACAGAAATTTCTGCATAACTCGAGAACTAATCAAGCAAATGGAACCAAAATAGGCATGTGGGGGCGAGTGTGGGGGTATAAGGAGATAATCATAGGGGGTAGCCCCTTAGATAATAGGGGGGGGGGGGGGCTACGTACAATATAGCATGCTTTTTTTTAAATCGGCGCATAAACTCAAGCTAATATTGAATCCCGAGCAAGACCGGGCACACTCAGCTAGTGTGGAATAAAATATGCAGTATTTTGAGTTTTGAAAATCGTTAATATGATGTAAACCTCGATGTAAGCGAACGGTATGGATAACATTTCCTCTCAACATCACCTAGCGCACTATACATTGCTGCTGCATCAAAAGATAAAAATATCGTTGTATTCATAAATGAAGCTCTTCCTAGTAAAATTGTTATATTCCAAACCATTTGTGGAATAGTTTTATCATTTGGGTTATCGTTCGTTTTAATATAGATTTATTAGGGTTTCAGATGATGTATAAAAACCGGTTTTTTTTCGAAATTAAACAACCCAATTGATGAAATTTTAGATTTCGGTTTCATTTGCGTAACAATGTGTAACAAAAACTGTAACAATTTTTAACAAAAACGAAATACCCCTCTCACAACCTTGAGCGTTATGCAATATTTGAACGAGCCGTGAGTCAAACAGTCCCATTTATGTGCACAATTTATTGTTGCATGCAAGTTATTTAACACTTTCTCATCTTTTCAGTGACGGGCTCGGTGGTTATCATCACTACCGAAATATTTCAATTTATCGTTTTAGTTTAGATTTGTACCGTATTTTTTCATCATACTGTTAACAAGAGTTGTACAGAATACCGCTTCTAGAAAACTTACTTACTTAAAATGATCTTTATTTCTTGTGTTTGTGTGGTTTACATTTATGAATTTTTTACATTTATGAATCTTTCAAGTGACACAGATGCGTCTTTTCAACTTTAGTTCATTTGAGATTTTAATTATTATTTACAGTTACTAGTCCTATCAGGCCTTTTTTAAAGTATGACCACCTTGGTGGGATTGGTTTGCTTCTTCTAGAAAATATATTCTAATATTATTTATAGAAGATGAAGTACATATACCATCAAATTCTCCTTTATATCAATTTCAATCTGATAAACCGTACAAGTTCTAAACGGACCGAGCTTCCACTAAGTAGATCCTGGATCCCGAAACTTACAGTGCGTTCAGAGGTGATATATCATGTAATATAGGCTATCTTCATATCAAATGTCTTATATATGATTTCCGGTGAAAATTTGCCATATGAGTGCTCATTGCTAGACAGCCATATTCTTGTTTTCGTTCGAACCGTATTTTCCATACTAAAACAAATTATTAATAAGAATAAGGGTGTATATTAGGTGAGATTTCAGCGTTAGTCTGAATGTACAATTAACCTACTCATATGTTGAGCTCATATGAAGATACTTTTCATAAATCAAAACAAGTTTATTGACCATCTGTACCTGTTGGTTTTATTTCAAAATATTCCTTGAAATAATCTTACAAAGTAAAATTAATGAAAATTATCTTCTCATTCAGAATGCGTTCGTTAAACCTAAGTGTGTTCAGTTCTACTAGAGGTTAAGTGATATAAATAATCGACATTTTACATTCTAATCGAAAATTATGCCTGATCTGCGTCCACACGCACCCTTCTCCCCCCAAATGCAGAGATTTAGTTGGCGGTTTCGCATGCGTCCACCCAATCGTTGTAGACGTCCACCGGTTCCGATAGGAAGTTGATTGTCGTCTGGTAGTCCTCCATGCACACCCGGCAGGTAATCCGCGCCGAATTTCGACTCTTGTCCATCTTGACTTCGCAGGACTTTTCGTGATTGCAGAAGGGGCAGTTGAACTGTTGGTCCAGCGGTTCGATGTTCTTCCGCTTCGGCGGGGGCTTTCTTTTCGATTTTCGACGTCCCATGGTGGCGGTGCGCTAGCTAGGATACTGGAATTCAGCGAGAAGTTAACGATTTCCGGGCAATATTCTGAAGAAAAATATGTTTGTTTATACCTTCGAGACGCGCTTGACGAAAGATATTTTACACTCGATCGATGACGGCTTCCAGTGTTTGACAGATTGATGTGTGGTGGGGTGGTAGTGTCTTTGGCGGTGAACAGGTTGTCCGCGGATTAATTTGACGTTTTGTGGAAGGGAAAACGATAAGCTCGACATTACATTTCTGGAACAACAATAGAAAAGGGCCCATCAGCATTGGGGTACAAACCGTTCTAAAGCCCTTCCCTCACAAATCGAAGGTCGCCCACGCAAACCAACAGCATCATCGTGTAGGGAAAGCTTTTCCCTACCCGATTGTGCTGTTGATTTGCGTGGACAGCTTGCTATTCGTGAGGAAAGTACTTTAGAACGGTTTGTATTCAAATGCTCATGGGCTCTTTTCTATTGTTGCTGCAGAATTTTGTTTTCATTCGGAGTGCAGTGATCAGTAAATTCGCGAAGATTGATAATAAACATTTAAACTAAACAGATTATGAACATAATTTCAAGTGTACGAGGTGAGTTTGGCTAACAGAACGAAAATGGATGTAATGTTTAAAAAGTTCCAAACAGGAAATTTGAATTCTTCTGATCTTTATCAAATACCTCGGATATATAGGGTAATTTGCCAATTGTTGCACACCACCCAATTGAGTTCTTTAAGGGTATTGAGGTAATTGTATATTCATAATCTGCATGTCAAATGGAACCGAAATCCAAAATTCCATCAATTTTGGTACACTGCAACTATTTTTAAAAAAATTACTTTAGCGCCCCTCATTGAAACAAGGACCATAGTTAGGAATACTATTTTGCAGAAAACACTTATTCTCAATATGACCACGCTTATTACCGTTAAATCTACTATGAATTCAGTATAGTTGACTATGAATGTTAATAAATTTACTATGATTTTGGCAAAACTACTATGCTTGCTCAAAATGCATAGTAATTTTGATATAAATAATAGTAAAATGAAAAGAAAATGTTTTCTGCGAAAATCTACTGGTGAGGGTATTTAATTTAAACCAGCAATACAGTATTTTTGCCAATGGATTTTGTTTCAGTACTCGGTGATACTTTGTATGAGGGCGAGGTGCCAATTTGATATTTAAGTGTTCAACAGTGAAGTGATCATTTTGCTTCAAATCTTAATTTAAACATCGAGACAGGCTGCTTCCACTCACTTGCTATAAAAACATGATTTTCTGAATTTTGAAATCATTAGATGTTATAATCATATTTTGTACTTGTTAGATACAAGAAGAGGTTGAAAGGCAAGTGTTTGACACATCAAATCTGTCAAATTCGCTTTCAGATAGTCACAGTCAGCAATTTTACGACTCGCGAGCGCTCACTCTGAGTGAACGCTCACGAATCATAAAATCGCTTATTGTAACACTCTGGTAGCAAAACTGACAGGTTTTATGAGTCAAACACTTGCCTTTTATCCTCTTCTTGAAACAAACAAGTACAACATATTATTATAACAGCGAATGATTTCAAAATTCAGAAAATCATTTTTTATAGCAAGTGAGTGGAAGCAACCCTGCATCGAGATGGAAGTAAATGGGATCGAAAAAAATATCGATCTGTTTTCCGTACTGAGTACCAATGCTACCGACGCCAGGGAGGACACTGGATCCTGGACAAACTCATGGACCGGGTAACAACGGCTTTACTTCCCTTCCGAAAAGGAAGGCGTGATCAGAGATTTTATGCCTCCGAAAATCCCAACGGCGCCGACTGGGATTGAGCACAGGCCCTTTGGGGGTGAGAGGCAGTCACGCTTACCAGTACACCACCGGCACCGCTGATCATTGTTACATGATAATCAGTGTTCAGTTGGAAGCTCTGGAAATACTTCATGACTCACATTCAATGGTTTTTTAAAAAAATGTCTATTTCAAAAACGTTTTCAACCTCGTTAAAACGCAAAATAACAAAAAAGCACGTGCTTAGCTGTGCAACAATTTTTGAATTGAATCTGTTCAACGTCGCTTTCTTCGTTTTGCGTTGCGTAGATTGCCTTGGAACGATCCGTTTCGATTACCAAGCTACGAAAGCCGTTGTCAACTTATCGACCTAGAACTTCTCCGGACTAGAAGAGACACAAACAGAGCCCTTACCGTGGCCGATATCCTACAAGGAAGGACAGATTGTGAGGCTATCCTGAGGCAAATTGACCTGAATGTTCAACCCCGACCGCTTCGTAATAACCTTATGCTAAGACTGCCTCTACGTCGCACAAATTATGGAGCGTACGGTGCGATTTGCGGACTGCAGAGAACATTCAACAGAGTTGCATCTGTTTTTGACTTTCATCTTTCCCGTGATGCGCTTCGTCGAAAGTTTTCTTCTGTTTTTCGCCAACAGGAGTTAAGATATTGACTATAAGATATACGTTTTTTAATGTTTTTTTTTATGTTATGACCATGCTTGAATGTATTTTTTTTTTCCATAGTTGATAAGGTTTAAATCATTGGGGCTTCATCCAGCCTGTTGATGTAAATAAATAAAAAAATAAAATAAAATAAAACGCAAAATGTTGGCTGCGAAAACGTTCTGCCTTACCAACGACCACGAGAAGCCAGAAGAAGAAGCAGTAATCGCGTTGAAGCTGATGTCAGTTCTAGTTTGCAAGACGCTCTAGTAAAACTTCTTGTCATTTTCGAGATGATGCGAGATGCTACAGCAATTGATGACGCGAGCGCAACGAGGGTATTTGAGAGATCAATCATCGAAAGTCCTATTCATTGGTAGGTGGCTGCGTGATGATGATGCTGGATTGAGTCGTAGTTCCCGCGTCTTTCCAAAAACGTATGCTGAAGCTGATTCATGATGGACATCCCAGAACCTAACGAGCGAAAACGATTGCTCAAGGCATCCTTTTCTGGCCATTGCTAATTACGTCCGCCTATGTTCAACCTTTGCCAGCGCTGCTAAGTTTCCACTGTAAGCCAACAAACAAACCCTGGTTGAATGCTGATGGTCAGTGGTCACGCCTTCATCTGGAGTTTGCTGCTGTCCATTAGATGGATTCTATTATCTGGTCGTTGTGGAGTCATACACGAAATGACCAGAAATTGTGTAGCAGCGATCGCCGACCAGCTCAACTACAAGCGCTTTCCTCTGTGAATGTTTCGCCCGCTTCGGTATACCAATGGAAATTGTAACAGGCAACGAAAGCCAATTCGTAAGTGCCGAGTTCTGCAAACTATCAGCGATGAGTTAGGAGTCGTTCATTTCCGCGCATCGCCGTATCATCCGCAATCTAACGATTTGTGGACACCGTCAAGCGTTCATTGAAGAAAATAATTGAGGCATGAGAAACATCAACTGCATAAGCAGCAGCGGTACTCCACATCTATTATATATCAACACCGTCCGCCGTGGTAGGTGGAAAGTCCCTCGAACAAAAGATGTTTGGACATTCCCCTACCGTACCAGCTTGTCAGCAGTCAACACCCAATATTCAACCGAAGTGGATGCCGGGTGTGGTCATCGATCGACAATGTCAACTACAACGTTACATATTTTGAATGTCTTGCAATGAAACCTGTAAACCCCTATAGGCCAACAAATAAATAGAAACTTTATTTCCAGCCTCGTTGAACTCCAACCTTCCCCGGCTAGCAACAACACAGCACACAAACGGCAGAATGGCGAGCACACAGGAGAAACCAATAGAGACAGCCATCCAAGACGGCCTCAACAGCAAACTGTCGCCGGTTCACCTGGAAGTGGTCAACGAGTCCTACATGCACAACGTTCCCAAGGGATCGGAAACGCACTTCAAGGTGCTGGTGGTGTCAGACCAATTCGATGGAGTTCCCTTGATCAAGGTTTGCTGAAGCTCCCATTTTTTATACATTGACGTCGATACCTATACAATTTACTTTCCCAACAGCGCCACCGCTTGGTAAACGAAATCGTCAGGGAGAAACTGGAAGGCAACTTTGTACACGCCCTATCGATTGAAGCGAAAACACCCGCCCAGTGGAACGAATCGTACAAACTGGAACCGAGCCCCAACTGTCGCGGCGGATTCGGAAAGTGAATGTTCGGATCGGAATAAATGGTTGAATTAGCTACTTACAGAAACAGTTGCTTTATTTACATGCCATATGAATCCAGACGAAGTTTCCCGTCGTTCTCGGTGAAATACATCATATCCGCCATGGTTTGCTCGCAAATCATCTCCTCCACGCGTTCGTGCATCTTTGGAAAGTCGAATTCAAACATTAAACTGGTCAAATTACCCACAAATAAAAGTAAATACTTACGGCCTTGCACTTGAATTGTTCCACCACTTCCGGATGCTTAAGATTCGGACCGAAATTCATGCTAACCGTTGCACTCTTGTGAATCGAAATGGCTGGATAGTACGCCCCTCCGTACACGTCCGTAAATGCCTCCCCCTGACAGATGCCATTCTTGAAGAAGTATATCTTGCTACCCGGCAACACCTTCAACGACTTCAACGTTTCCGTCACCTTGTCCTTCTCTTCGTAGTACAGATGGCTCTTGAACTTTACCAATGGTCGATCCTTGAACGTACTAGGAATGTGTCCAGCGGGGTTCGAGTCCGGAAGCACTAACATAAAGCCCAGTGTATCGCCGACTCCATATCCACCATCACAGTAGTGCTTTCCGTGAGATTCATGAAAGCGAGTTCCCTTGCGTGAACGCCATGAGTAGCCAAACTTGTCGTACCCGAGCGGTGCTTGTAGATTGGCGTATTCCTGACCCCACCCTAGCCGGCAGGCAGATCCTTCCGGCATATCCTCCACCGTTGCTTCCCAGTACCAGCAACCACGAGTGACAACTGCAGTAAGTGGGTAAAATTATGAAATAATTTGTAACGAAATAATTCACAACAACTCACAGTGTGTGGCCCGAGCCATGCAGTATCCCTTCTCGCCGGTAACCGATAGGCGATCCTCCGCAATTTTCAACTGCGGTGCCCGATCGTGCAATGCTACCAGAACCGCATTCGGCGATAGGACCCGATACAACCACCCGGGAATTGGCTTTCCGGCCCAGTCGGCACTCTCATCAAACTCCTGCCGAAACGGAGCATGTGGATCCGGTTCGGCTAGTATGTACCGATAGCCATCTTTGTTGAAGGGATGTTCCAGCGGGTATCCGTGAGCAGGAAGTTTCACCAGTGCCAGTTCCGTTCCGACACGACTTTTCTTCCCAAGCGTTCCACCCTGGTCGCTGTTGGGGAACTTTCGCTTCTGCTGACGACCGGCCTTAGCCAAATTTTGAGTACCTGCAATGATGAAAAAGATCGTACTAGAGAGCTTGTAAATTAGTACGTAGTATGCCAACATACTGTCATCCATTTTCCGGTCAGTGAAATGCACGTACACTTGATCAGGGTACTTCCCGTCTTCTTCTGTACCTCCGTATCAACACAGTGGATAATGCAACACCCAGTCTTCCCTTATCAGTCCATCACACACAACAAACAGTCGTGTGCGTGCGTCAAAAAATAACCAGAACCTTCTCTTCCAGAACAATGTTTGTATAATTATTGTATAAACGGATGCACTCTCTTCCGCTGACCAACCACCGGAACGGTATCACCTAGTGCGGTGCGTGCGGACGTGTCTATTTTCCTCACTTCCAATCTCCTCTGCTCACTTTTCGATTATTAACCAACCATTTAAAGCGATTTTCTTCCTTCTTCCCTTATTCTTAGAAACAAACAAAAGCTAGCTTCGAATTAACGATGAAATTGCAAGGCAAAATAATACAACGCAATTAGGAGAAAACCAAATGCAAAATACCCTGCCGTGCCTCTTAACTGAATGCTGTGGCGACTCTCGACTCAATTATTTCAATCTCTTCACAAACAGCAACTAAACGAACTCCCCAAACAGAAACAGCGAAACAGTCGCAAAAGCGCCGAGCGAAGCAATAATAATCGGACGTCGGACGTCGCATGATCGGCTGACTACCACCAGCCAGTGCACAGATGAAAGAGCCGAAAATTATCGACTAACAATTGAAAAGAGCGTATCAACCTTTGTAAACAAACCAAGTAATGTCCATTTCGCGCAAATCAAAGCTCGCCTACGCAAACGAACAACACTATCGGGAAAGGGAGATTTTCCTCAACCCGAGGGTGTTGTTGGTTTGCATACACGAGCGTGAAAATGGCATTACATGTTTTGTTTACAAAAGCTGGTACGCCTCTTTCAAATGATGGTCGAGAATTACTGTTTTCCATCATCAAAACACAAACACGCGACAACGGTGATGACGATAATGATGATGATTATGCCGAGCGTGGAAGAGAGAGTGCTGAATGCATTTCAGAAAAAGAGAGAGTTGAGAGTAACTTACACGCACGGCGAATGAGAACGACTCAAATTTGAGTTTAGTTCACTCATAATCGCCAAAAGTGCAGGAACTCAGCGATGAGTAAATTTGTCTCATGGTTTCCTGTGGAAAACCTAAAAAATCTGCCGGAAAATGAGGAAATTAACGAAAATTTTATTCAGTCTCGGAGTAGAACCAATAGACTGAGTGAACCCAATCTTTACTTTTCTCAAATTCGGGAATTTTTCCCTGGAAAATCCTGGAAAACCTGGGAAAACATGAGACAAATTTTACTCATCCCTGAGTTCCTGCACTGTTGGCGATTATGAGTGAACTAAACTCAAATTTGGGTCGTTCTCATTTCAAAACTACCCAAATTTGGGTAGAATCCTCCCAGATCGATCAAAACTGAACCTACCCAAAAATGGGTAAACTATGTTGGGAGTGACAAGTTGACAATTCGACAGTGAGCATGCATAAGGGCGTATACGCGATGATCGATTCTCTTCATCGTTTTTCTCTTTGCATTGCTACAGCTAAGCGAAACAATTTTGTAGAATTTGTTCAATGTAGAGTTGTAATAGGTTGTATTGGCTTTCAAAAGCAACAACAAACGCACCGAGAAACGTTAAATATAGCGAGTTATTAATAAAAGAGAAAATCGATGAAGAGAATCGATCATCGCGTATACGCCCTTATGAATGCTCACTGTCGAATTGAACAAAGTCGATCGGATTTATGTCAATGTTGTCCATTTGTCAACTTGTCACTGCCAACATAATTTACCCATTTTTGGGTAGGTTCGGTTTAGACCGATCTTGGTGGATTTTACCCAAATTTGGGTAGTTTCGGAATAGCGTGTATTACTAAAATCGTTAACCCTTTCATGTCCAACTTTTTTCAAGTTCAAATTTGATTGATGAGAAATTCAACAGTGAGCATGCATAAAGGCGTAAAAACAAAGATCGATTCTCTTCGACGATTTTCTCTTCAAATTGCTACTGCTAAGGGAAGCAATTTTTTGAAATTTGTCCAATACAGTGCTGTAACAAATTGTATTGGCCATCAAAAGCAACTACAAACGCACCGAGAAATTTTAATCCAAGCGAGTTATTAAGAAAACTTTTGAGTTGTAACTGTAAAGAATAATTTCAATGTCTGCAATGACTAACTCGATATCGAGTTATAGAATCATAGAATAAAATTATTTAATAAGATTTGGCAGGTTGATAGATTTCCTTTATTTAGGAGATTTTCTGCCGAACACTGGTTCATCTCCGGTACAGCTTTGTCAAGGTGTCTACTCATTTTTTCTAAATAATATTCCCTGATTTTTCCTGGTTTTTCCACTCTGCTCGACCCGCATAAACGCGAACCATAAATTGACCTTACCTAAAATGGTTAAAAATTGTTTATAATCCCTGCTAAACTTTAACTGAAATGGTTATGGAACTTTACATGAACGTTTAATGATAAAGTTTCAACCTTATGTATTATGGTTTTTTGGAAATGGACCTTACAAATAATGGGTTGTTAAGAACCATTACCATTCCAAATTCTTGTTTTCTCCATACATTTTCAGAAAGAGAACTATATAAGAACGTTTTTACTTATGATTTGAGAACATTAATGGTAATGGTTATGGTAGTCAGTAAGGTCCATTAATGGTTTTGTATTATCGCTCAACTTTACGTGGAATATATCGTGAATTGGTAATCAGTAAATTACAGGCAACCAATTCGCGATATATTCCACATAAAGTTGATCGATGTTACAAAACCATTCGTGGACCTTACTGACTACCATAACCATTACCATTAAAGTTCTCAAACCATAAGTTAAAAGGTTCTAATATAGTTCTCTTTCCGAAAATGTATGGAGAAAACAAGAATTTGGAACGGTAATGGTTCTTAACAACCCATTATTTGTAAGGTCCAGTTCCAAAAAACCATAATACATAAGGTTGAAACTTTATCATTAAACGTTCATGTAAAGTTCCATAACCATTTCAGTTGAAGTTCAGCAGGGATTATAAACAATTTTTAACCATTTTAGGTAAGGTCAATTTATGGTTCGCGTTTATGCGGGGATCCATGGCTACACTTCAACAGCCTCGTCCGCAGGTTGCCTTCTATTTGATCGATCAACCTTGCCAGCTGCGCGTCTCTTCTACTTGTTCCTGTTGGGTCGCTTTCGAGAACCATTTTCATTGGGTCGTCGTGCGGCATTCTCACGGCGTGCCCAGCCCACCGTAGTCGCCCAATTTTCGCAATGTGGACGATGGATGGTTTTCTCAGATACACGAACCCGTCGACCACCTCGATTTCGTCACCGTCAATCTAAACTCGAGGTGGGAGGCTAACATGCGTCTTCCCTAGAACCTCTTCTTTTCATGTATTTCGTCTTCGATGCGTTGATGGCAAGTCCAATCCGCCTAGCTTCAGCCTTCAACCTGATGAATGTTTCCGCCATCGTCTCAAAGTTCCGTACCATGATGTCGATGTCATCGGCGAAGCTAAGAAGTGTTGCATAGACTTCCTGAAGATCGAACTCTCTTGCAAATGGTGACAGGCAGCGGCATAGAATTTGGGAGAGTGCAGCGCTCTAGCCAGTGCTTCACCATCGTATTTTAATAGCTCACTTGGTAGTTGATCTACACCAATTGTTTTGTTGTTTTCAGCCGATCGATCTCCTCCTCAACTTCTTCAAGATCAGGGGCCGGTAACCTGTTGTCTTCTACGCGTGATCCAAGGTCTGTTTCCGTGCCAATTTTCATTCACCTCACACTCGTTCGCGAGAACGTTACCGTTCAAGTCCTTGCACATATCGGCTTGCGGCACGTAGCCTTTGGGCGAACTATTTAGCTTTTCGTAGAACTTCCGTGTGTCGTTTACGCGGTACAGATTTTCCATCGCCTCGCGATCTCGGTCTTCCTGTTGATGCTTCTTCCTTGTATCGCTCCACATTCAATCTCGTGCGGTGTGGCAGCATTCTTCTCCTCTACTAGCAGTTTGTATTCGCCGTCAAACCAAGCAGTCATTTTTTTGGTCCGTGATCGCAGTATCTAGTGTCGCTGCAGCAGTACTACCTATGGCGGAACGAATGCCCCTACAGCCATCTTCAAGAGTAGCTGCGCCAAGTTGCTCTTCCGTGGGTAGTGCAGCTTCCAGATGCTGCGCGTAATTCTGGGCAACTCCAGCGTCCCGTAATTGCTCAATGTTGGGACGCGGCGTTCGACTTCGACGGGTGTTATGCGCCGTTTAGAGTTTTGGGTGCATACATACTGCAACTAAGTAGTGGTTTGAATATATCAAGCTGAACATTGCATTAGATCCTAAGTAACATTGATCGATTCTCTTCGTCGACTTTCTCTTTCGTTAATATCTCATTGTGAAAAGACATCAGGCTGGCTGCATGTTTTTTTTTAGGTATATCAAGATGCCGTATCACTATGATTAGGAGTGATCGCCATTGTTTGACTAATAGCATTATCCCAGCAAGGCATTACGCTTCGAATAAAGTGCACTGCCGTACTGGGAGTTGTTCTCCAAATGTCAAATGCCCAAATGGTTCTACCAGCCCCTTGTCAAAGAACTTACGCCTTCTATTGAAAATTGCCGGACAGTGGCATAGCAAATGTTCCGAGTCTCCCTTTTCTATGCCACAAAAGCGAATACATCATCTTGAAGTTTTCCAATCAGCTTCCAGTGATAACGACTCGGACTATAACCTGTTATAAGACCTGTATATATGCTAAGATCTATTTTAGAAAGTTCTCTGAATAGGATAGATTAATAGTTCCGATAGAGTACGGAAATTTTAACAGAAGTTTAGGCCATTAATGCGACAATGATTGATAAGTCAGTTCAAATTGCCCTCACAAGGCGGCGCTATAGTGCTTGATTTAATTTGACAGCTCGACTAGATAGAAGGTTGTTGTCTTCGGCAAAATTGTTCAGATGGACAAGACCTCTAATTGCTTGCCTTAACATGACAGCTCGACTTGATAGAAACATAAAAAAAAAAACAATAGCTCACCTTGTGCAGTGGCCTCGTCATAGTTAGGCTTCATTTGGGTTAAATCCGGCGTTACCAGCCCGTACATCTGCCCGTCGCTGGTCTCTTCGTATGCAAACAGCGAGTTGATATCCTTCAGCAGCGTCCTCTGCACCGTCGCGTACCACGATTGCGTTGACCGGCGACTCATGGTCGTCATCGATTCCCAGTAGTGATCCATGAAGGGAATGATGTCCCGATCCTTGCTAAACATTACCTTCGGTTTGCCGTCCTTGATCGACGTTTGCTGCAGGTTGGCGATGGCCGTCATGCACATCTGCGGTATCGTGGCTTGGGTCTTTCGGAAACTCTCCAACCCCGTAACGGAGCAATTTTTACACACGAAAACGTAATTCATTATGAACGGAACCAGCCGACCCAGCTGAAACCCTATGCAGGATTCATGAAACCAACGGTTACACGTTACGCACAACAGCTCCACAATATTGAGATTCCTCTCCTTTGCACTGGATGGTGTAAACAGAGAGAAAAAAGAAAGGTAGTGCAACGGTGAGAGTGAGAGTCTTATGATTGTAAACAACTCGCGATTGAGGTTATGTCACAAATATAATAAGCTTTTTTTTTAATTCTGACTTATTTGCTCAAAACAAGTTCTAAAATTGTATTTTCTGTATTAAATCTAATTGTATCAACTCACCAATAACAGTTGCCGTACTTATCCTCCGTTTTGGGGGAATTTTTACCCGATTTGGCATCACCATCTTCCATCTTGGGTAACACAAAGGAGGGCAACGCAGAAAATCTGCTTTTATTGTATAAAAATTGAATAAACGCAATAAAATATACTTAAACAGGATACACTACACTTTGAACACACAATTGGGACCGGGAAAAGATAAACTTTAATTCAATTTAAATCGATTCCGTGAAATAATCAATGCTCCATTACTGTACGACGCGACGGACGGCAAACCAAGCGGACAGTGGAGAGCATACACATTGTGATTATCGATTATGCTACTCCTGCTGTACTGTCATTTGTGTCATGTTCGCGTTGCACACTGTTAAATGAGACAGATCAACAAAGGAGTGATTGTAACCTATTTTAACATAGTTAAATTTAAGTTCTGGTTTATAATTAACTTTTTAATGTATATAAATTAGGGTGCCAATGAAAATGGCCATCTTGAATTTCCAAAACCGACAATGTGCTAAATGTATTCTGAGTATATGATTTAGAGATGGCGCAGAATCTTTAAAATTTTATTTCTTTTAAATCGAATATTATGTTGATATTAAATTTCTTGAAAATGCATGAATCGACTTTCTGGGACGGGGTATATTACCTTTTAATAATAGCTATTTTGAATTATCAAAAGACAAACTAACATATTTGTTTAATTTATTTAATGTAGAGATATGGCATATTCATGTTCAGCAAAAAAAAAACAAATCATCATAAGTTTTGAATAGTTCTTAAAATACATGTAATTTTACTTATAAATTAGTCTTTTCTCCGTATTGGGGTATTTACATTTTATCCATTACATCAGATTGTGTAGGCCTTTATTTGTTTTTTTTCTATATTCTATGTTGTTATTTGTAGCGACCCCGAGGTGCTGTTGTTTGTTCCCGGTAGGTTTAATGAACGGATGGCTTAAGCGCCACCTCCGAAGAGGACCACCTGTGGTGTTTCGAAATGCTCGGCTAGATACTGGCCAAAAGAGCCAGTTCTAATATTAGTCAACAGAAGGCGAGTAACCAATTCAACGAAAAAATGACTAAACATGACGAAAGAAACGTGAAACAACCTTCAGCTTTGCTTAGGGGTGTAGAGATAACGATGAGAATAATAATAATACATAACATAATAGTAAAACACATCTTTTGAATCATCGTTATCTCTACAAGGGGGTGGAAAATTACATACTACATTTATTCAGTGTTTAGTTTTACCTAGAGTTCTATAATACATATTTACAAACTTTAGTTCCCCCCTATCTCTCTGACTAGTGCGGTCTATTGATTATTCGCCTATCGCGCTATCACTTGCATGCAAGGGTGGGTTCGCTGCTAACATTTTTTGCACGCTTACGTTGGCGAGTTTTGCGGGCTTTCGCCCGACCGATGCTATCGATGCAACGACGGCTGATGTTCTCCTGCTGCGCTTGAAACTTCACGATACGGTGATGGTGACGTGCCCAGACGACTCCTAGTTCATGCACGTGCCGAACTCAGTCAATGGAAGTAAGTCGAAGTGCACCGATGACGTAGGCAACTCCCTACCGATAGGCAACCGGGAAGCTTTGATTCCAGAGCGTGGCAAGGGTTGGCGACGCGAGACAAAGCCGCGGTGCGAGGCCAATTGAGGCAGCACTATTGACGATCGCTTTGTTGGCCGTTGAGCACTCTGAGTTATCTCTGAAACGCTTTCACAAAACTCGCACAATTACTGGACTGCAAATCTATCTAGCTTTGCCAGCCAATCACACCGCGGAACAAACTATAAAATCGCGCCCTTCTTCTACCACAGTCAGGACAGGATTAATGTGCAAGAGGCGATTACTGATTTTCCTTAGAAAAGTCGTGAGAGACCAAATGAAGTATTTCATTCCCTCTTCAGTCGATCTAGGTCTGTCTTTCTTGTTCCCTTCTACTGCTAACAAATTCCAGAACTATCCCATTCGGTTTACTCTATCCGAGTGACGAAAACACGAATACCTAGTGAAACTCTTCGGAGAAGCTACGTAAATACGTTTTCGCTAACCTTTACACGCGTCGGCAACTGACTTGCATACAAACTACAGTTCGTTTCATTTAGCTGAACGACAGTCCATTTCAGTTATAATATAAATTGGTTTAAATAATTGAACGACGATTAATTTAAGAATAAATATTTGAAGATAAATAAGACAACGTAACAAAATATAATTTAACGAAAATGTCTCCCGTTACACATTCACTACTTTCAAAAATTTAGTCCGGCGTTGAGCATTTTTATATTCGGTTGAAGTATTCCACTGCTCCACGTAGATATCCAGCAAGAACTCAGGAATTTCTACAGCATTAAATACACTTTGAATACCTTTGCTGCCTTGTACGAAGGAGTGTAATTCAATCCATACCTTTGTCTGTGTGTCTGTAAAAAAAAATGAATGATTAGATCACAAAAGTTTAGGTTAAGTTGTTATTAATACAATGTAAAATTTGATAATTATCTTGATTATCTTTATCACTGCCGTGAACATCCGAAACAATGCCGACAAGAAATCCGTGATATCATGCTATCCAGTTGGATGGAGTTCCTGGAAGGGATGAACGCAACGCAATCCTTGGTCGACCTCTGGCAGCGAATCAACGCCCTCAGTGGGAAACGACGCACGACACCATTTCACGTTCAGGTTAACGGTTCCACGGTTTCCAATCTGGAAACGGTTACTGATGAACTCGGTACCTACTTCACCGACCTCGCAGCTATCGACAAGTATGACAACAAGTTCAAGCAGAAAGCTGCCATCGACCGCAGCCATCGCAGACTTCATAGTACCCCCCAACACCGCCAGTACCGGTATAAACCAAGCCTTCTCTTCGCTGCAGCACCGGGAAGTCCGCGGGACCCGACGCAATCGGATATCCTCTACTCAAGAGGCTACCAGTACCAGGACAGCTACGGATGCTGGATCTCTTCAACAAGATCTGGCTCACCAACGGGTACCCAGCAGTATGGAAGAAAAGCTTGGTAGTTCCCATCCCGAAAGCCGGAGTAGCCACCCGCGAAGTCAGCAAGTTCCGTCCAATAGCGCTAACATGTTGTATAGCCAAAGTCCTGGAGCGTATGGTCAATCGACGACTGAAGCAATACCTCGAAGTTGGAAATTTCCTTGATCACCGACAGCGCGCTTTCCGACAAGATTTCGGAACGTCCACCAACTAATCGACTGGAGTCTTAACGGACCAATCGTTCACTTCATCCAGAACTTCTTGTCCAACCGCTCATTCCGCGAGCTGCAGTCGGCAACACCAAATCCCGGCTCTTCCCCGAGGAAACGGGTGTTCCACAAGGGTCGGTTATCGTCGTTACCCTGTTCCTCGTGGCGATGAACGGAATCTTCCGTCAACTACCGAAAAACATATATGTGTTCGTCTACGCCGACGACATCCTCATCGTCACCACCGGACCCACGCCACTGCACAATGGTCCCAAAGCCGTATTTAGGAAGACAAAAATGTTTGCGCTAAAACCGTTGGTTTTGGGCATATGGTGTCTTCGGGAAAGTTTCTTCATATTTTTTGGCCATTTTTTTCATGTTAGTGAAATTAGGGTGGTCCATAAAATTGATGAATTGAAAATGTGAACTTTTTTATTGTTTGAGATAGACCAATGCAATGTTGTAAAAAGTTGCAGAACAATCAATTTGCGGCAACTTTGCTCTAGACACCAAATTTCCATCTCTTATGGTTCATGATTTATGTTTTTTTAAACAATCTAGTTAGGGTGGCCCATGAAAAAATGGTTTTCTATGAGTATCTTTTCATACGTTCATTCCTCGTAAAAGCGATGTAGTAGTACTTTCAATGACAAATATTTTTATTGAAGAACCAAGTTGATATTTTTTATTGGAAAGTTAAAGGCGATTTTCTTCAAAAAAAACGGACACTTTTCAATTGTCAACTTCTCTAAAAAGGAGCAAGTCGATTTTCAAACTTTTAATTCCATTCGAAAGATCGTTGTTTTGTTCATTTGTGATGGGAAAACTGCAAGAACGCTTTTTTTAAAGCATTTAATTTAATTTTTAAAATTCATATTTTTATGCAAAAAACTGCCATAACTCTTCAAATGATGGAGATAGTATCTTAATTGCTTCGGCAAAAATGTGCACCATCAAAAGTTCTAAAAGTGTTTAGAACAAAGTTGTTTAAAAAATCATAACTCATGAACCATAAGAGATGGAAATTTGGTGTCTTCAGCAAAGTTGCCGCAAATTGATTGTTCTGCAACTTTTTACAACATTGCATTAGTCTATCTCAAACAATAAAAAAGTTCACATTTTCGATTTTACGGTTTAGCGACTTTGCAGTCAATTTAATTGTTTATAGGAAAGTTTGAAACATACTTACCTCTCAGTATGTTTCAAACTTTCCTAGTTCACATTTTCAATTCATCAATTTTATGGACCACCCTAATTTCACTAACATGAAATACTAAATATGAAGAAACTTTCCCGAAGACACCATATGCCTTAAACCAACGGTTTTAGCGCAAACATTTTTGTCTTCCTAAATACGGCTTTGGGGCCATTGTGCAGTGGATACAAGAATGAGAGCCCAAGCGGCAGTCTAAAAGCATCAGGTGCCACGTCTGCCCTTCTCGACACAGAATTAGCGGACCACCGATCAAAATCGACGACCAGCCCATATTGCTGAAAAAGACCGTCCGAGTTCTGGGAGTTCCCGTTGACCGATTCCTCCACTTTGAACGCAACCGAGTGAATCTCATCCGGACCATTTCCCAACAGCACAGACCGAACAACCGCAACATCCGTTTTCACGTTGCGAGTGCAATTATCGACAGCCGCCTTCTATACGGGCTGGAGATGACCTGCATCGCAACGGATAAGCTTTTAGCTACGTTAGCACACCTACGTCCGGATTGTCTCTGGCTTGCTGCCATCCACGCCCGTTAACACTGCGGGCATCCTGCCTTTCCGCTTCCGTATAACGGCAGCTATCGCAACCAAAGCCGCTGCTTTCACAGGGATCTTCCTTCTCGACGAGGGGAATAGACTACTCCGCACGGCTGCCAACGAAGACCTCCCTCCAGTGGCCGGGGTCCACTGGCATGGAGACAAATGCTGGCAAACACCATTACCGAAAATCGAAACCTGATGAATGTGGGTGTCTTAATGGAATACCTGTATGAAGAGAGAGAAGAATTAGTAATTTCCATTTATTTCCACTACCTTATTTGCTTATCCTTGACA